TCTTTTCTGAGCCAATCAGATGTTGCCATACTGCTCAGAAGCCCCTCCCCTTGCCGCCGGGTGGGCGGAGCCTCTTCTCTGTGCCTAAAGAGCTCTATACAAAAACAGGGGAAAAACAAAACAGGAACTTTACTAACAGGAGCACACAGGACACTCTCTTTTTTCACGCTCTGGAGTTTGTTTACCTGTAAAGGAGCGAAGAGTATGTAATGTTTCGTCTCTGACTGGACTTGCTGCTTTTTGAGGACTTTTAAAAGGATCCGCATCCCCTCATCTCATCGACGGGACACCGAAAACCAAGCGAAGGAGCAAAGAATCAGCGCGTGTGAATGGTTGTGTGAGAGTACGTGTGCATCGGAAGGGATGTGTTCATAGAAAAGACGACCTACTTGGTTTGCTTCAGTGAGTGCGTTCGTAGCTCTTGGCGTTCGTCCGCTCTAAAATTGATGGGATGTGCTCTGCGTACAGGTGATTCTGTGCATCAATACGACATTACGAATGGATTCGTTTCGTTTTTTTTTTCCTTTGTGAGCGTGTGCATGCATGTGTCTGTACGTATGTGTGAGAGAGAGAGAGCCGGTGAACAGGACTGCGATCAGATGGGGAACACCAAGATCAGCTAACGGCAGGGACTCGCTTCGAGAGGAAACAGCAATTAGAGAGATAAACCTTACGGTCTAGTATTTATAGCTCTAGCTGTAGTATTTATAACCCTAGGACTATAGCCCATCTACTCAATGTTAGAACTTTATTTAAGCACAAAATATACCCATTACCAATGTACTGTATCGTGGCAATGTACTATAATACTCTCCTGAGTGCGGAGATACATGCACACCTTCACATACAGATGGAAGAAGAGAACAGTAGCAGCATCAATCTAGCAGTTTCATACCTCATTCGGTCCTACTGTTACCTTCTTTTCCTTCAGGCAAACACCTACGCAGACACACCTGCCGCACACTCAGACGTTTCTGTTCGCTTCTCCTTGCCGTTAGATCGGGATCCGTTCCCGAGATCGGTAGCTGATTTTTAGCCGCGAGCCTCTGTCGGGATTTTAATGTAAATAGAGCCTGAGGACTTTGGATCAGAGACCTTGTTGATTTATACAGTTTTATTCATTTTACCAAGTCCTATTGTTTTTATGATTCTTCCTTGATGTTCGATAGATGATTACACATATACACCATTAGTTGGTTTTTTGCTGGTAGGTTTTTAGTCGGTTGCTTTTTTTTATTTATTTATTTATTTATTTTCTAATCCTTTATTTTGTTGTGGTTGAAAGTATTGATACTTATTTTGTCTGCACTTCAGATACTATTTATGGAAGAAAAAAAAAGACCTAAACAAATCGTTCCCCGTGCCTATATGTTTTGGTTCTGGGTTGCGTAGATTGGCTCGTTTGCTCGGTGAGCTGCAGCCGTTTTGAATGAAGAGCTACATGAATGAACCAATAATAACAAAGGCTGCGTCTCAAATCAAAACCCACATTCCATGTGTAGTAAACTAACAGGGGATTCAGACATTTTTAGCTTTGTTGCATAGAAATTATTCTAGTTCCCTCTAAAACAAAGCACCTAAAAATGTAGAGGGAGAACGAGTGTCTTCAATCTAGCGTATCCCAGAGTGCACTGCAAATTGCACCAGTTGACCCTGAAAACATTAATTTCATGTAAATTCAAGGTGGTGACTGGATTGCCATCCATCCAAAATTCATAAGAAAATACACGCACTGGCCACTTGATTAGGAACCCCAGTACTAGGTAACACTGGGTAGAACCCTTCTTTACTCTCAGAACAGTCTAATTTCTTCATGGCATGGATTCAACAAGATACTGGGAATATTCCTTCAACATTCTGATCCATGTTGACATAACTGCCAACATCTACCACACCCCAAAGGTGCTCTCTTGGATGCAGATCTGACCGAGGAGGCCACTGAAGTACACCTAACTCCTTGAACCAGTTTGAGACGACCTGTGCCTTGTGACAAGGTGCAGATCAGCATCTTAGAAGATGGTAAATTGTGGGATGCACATGGTCAGCAACAATACTTAGATAGGCTGAGGCATTCGAACAATACTTGATTGCTATCAGGGGGCCCACTGTGTGCCAAAGAAACATTGCTCACACTATGACACCACCATCACCAGCTTCAGCAAGGCAGGTTGGATCCATGGATTTATGCTGTTTACACCAAATTCTGTCGTCAGCATGTCGCAGTGGAAATCGAGATTCAGTACTGGAGACAGTTTCATACTGTCCAGTTTCCCCACTGTACCCTCAGATTCCTGTTCCTGGCCGACAAGAGTGGAACCCGACATGGTCTTCTGCTGTTGTAGCCCATCCACCTCAAAGTCTGACATGCATCCAGAGGATGCTCTCAGCTGGGACAATTCTAGCCATTCCCCTGTAACCTCTGTCATCAACAAGATGCCCACATTGCTGCTTACTGGATGTGTTTAGTTTCTTGCATCATGCTATATAAACTTCAGAGACTCTAGAGACCATAGAATTCTCAGATCAGCAGTTTCTGAAATATTTCAAATCACAACCATACCACTGTCAAAGTTACTAGGATGATATGTGGCCCATTCTGTTGTTTGATGTGAACTAATGCTTTTGATCCGTATTTTCCACATGATTGGCTGAATGCATAACTGCATAAGTGATAGGTCCTAATACAGTTGCCAGTGAGTGTATATAAAATTTATATATAAAGTTATTAGTATGCAAATCACTGCTTACTTAGAATTTAAAGATATTTCATTCCAAGTAATTCTGAAGCATTTCTGTTTATCCATTCAGAAATTTTCACACAGCATAAAGGACAGCTGCTGTGTTTAAATGGTGAGCAAATAGATGTTTTTTGGACAGCGATGAAATTTTAAGTCTATTATAAATTTCGATGTCCTTAAATGCTCTCAGCCTTTTCTTAGCCTGCTAGTCAGTTAGCAGGTGGCTTTTTGCTGCCTTATCAAAGTCGAGTGCTTGGATCATTGACATCACAGGTTTTCTGAAAGTGTCCAAATGGCACATGAACTCATTTTCAGTTCCCTAAATACTCCTTCACTACATAGGGAACTAGGGATCGATTTGAGACACAGCCCAATTCGTCTCTGTAAAGAGAAGCAGAACCTTCTGATATTCTACAGCCACCTTTTTGTGTATAAAAGTTCCTCCTAAGAAAGATAGTGGTAGTGATCCGTTTCTCCCATTGTGTAGCGCTATATTTATTCTTTACAGTCATGAAAGGTTGTATCTAATCTTAAAGAATGAAACGTCCCCAGCGCGGGAATCCTACCCTTAAACTTAGCCATAGCCATGGACAAGCCATACACACCCTGTCCTTCTTACGGGCTTTAGGAGCGTAGGAATGTACATATTTATACAGAACCACAGAAACGCTTATGAACCGAGGGAAAGACTCAGTGTTTAAAAATGTGGGACACCTCAGCGTATGGAGACATGTTGTGAATGTTAATATTGTTAAGAAGACAATTATTATATTCAAATATGATTATTATTGTAATTATCATTGCTTTCATTTTATTGATGATATGATGATTGATAAATGATCAGCAATTTCTTTCCTTTTGTGAATATGAGTTTACATTATTCCAGAAGTTTAAATAATTGGACAAATTAATAAATAGATATATGCTAATGTAAAATGCCTTTTTTTTTTTTTGCTGTTTTAAATTTTCAAGATTGCATAAAGCACATACACAAGCACACAGACACACAACTGCTGAGAGAGCTTAAAGCTACACTATGTAAGTTTTGGGGGATTTGGAGACCTCTCTGGTGGAAACGTGTAATTGCATGCAATGTGAAAAAGTACATTCAGTAACGTGGGTTGTGCCTCTCTGAGTGGATAAATCTGATGACTGCGAGTGCGCTGAAGGACAATTCAAAGCGAACTCGGTCAAAACTTGAAGGACGTGTCTTCTGAGGATGCGAGTTACCTACTGTCATCATATCTTCATCATTATAAAGCTGATTTCGCATTTGAGACCTAAATATTGAGCCAGACCTTCTTGCTGAGGCTGTGCAATTGAGTTAATACATAAAGACCGATGACGTAGTCTGAAAAATCCCATCTGACGCCTCTGACTTGTAAATCAGTATTTCAGGCTTTACAGGGTGACACTGTTATTTCAGCATGTTCTTTTTCTCCTACAACTTCAAATATTGCAGCTCAAAGCCTGAAACTTTCATTATCTTACTTCCAAAATACACCAAAATCCATTAAAACAAGTTTCAAAAGCAAAGCAGTGAAGTCAGCCTTGTAAAGCAGACTGCTGTACTTTAAAGGTAAAGCATGTCTGTGTGTGTCAGACAAAGGAATGAAAGGCTTCTGGAACATCCCCCCCCCCACTCGCCCTGCTCTAGTGGAAAAAGTTGGGAAATCATGTGGAAGTTTTAAAACTAGTTATTATTTGTTGTGATATTTTTGAAAATAAATCACAGGTTTTATGATGAAGCATTTAAACTGTGCCTTCGCTGAACTATAGAAATTGTGTTCTATTAAAATCTAAGGTTGCAGATCTTGACAGAATGACATTTTTGCGCTTTGTTTGAAATCTAGAAAAAAATAAAGATTTTTCGTCAAACTTAATCGCTCGCTTTAAACTGTATGAACCATTAGCTAACGTTAACGATACACATTTCACTGTTGATTTAGCCAGTCTTACCAAAATAGCAACAAATATGACACAAATAGAGTTTCCAAATCGATTTGCTGTAAATGATGATTTGCTTCAAATCTTCAGGAAGATGCTGTAGTGATATTATTTTTGATTGCCTCATAAAAATAAAACACTATATGGAATTGGTCAAATGATGAAGGGCACGGTTAGGGTAACTGGTGGGCCACACTGAACATCCTCACAGGTCAACTTTAGGCAGCTCTGCTCTAGAATGTCCTGCAGAAACCGAAGTAAAGTGTATTCTGTGAAGTGTTTGAAGGAAAAAAAACAAAAAACAATCTGAAACAGTTTTTGCAATCAGTTAATTTATTAAACCACAAACTGGTAATTGAAAAATAATAAAAATCCCAATGTACTTGATTATTAATAGCCACACAACACTGTGTGGTCCTCTTTGCTCATGGACTAAAGAACTTGAACATACTGATGTTTGACTATGAAATACAGACGGTATCCATCGAATACAATCAGATACAGCAGTACCTGACTGACAATCAATAACACAAACAACTTCAGTGTCATGATCGAGAACAACTCCGAAAACCAGACGAATGGCAAGAAAAATCCTTCAAAACCATAAAATATCAGACACAAAACAAAGCATACATTTCCTTCAAATGAAATCATTTAAGATAATATCGTACAACATAACGAGCTGTTCTAATGCATTTGCATTTGGGTCTGGGCTGCTTTTCCACACAGATAAAGCCTAATCCTTTTCTAAAATAGAAGCCCAAACAGGGTACTGCCACTGGCAGTGCAATTTATTCAAAGATTAGGACCAATCTGTGCTGGGAAATGCACCACTTTCCCCGAACGCATCACTATGTGGATATGGCAATTTGGATATGCAAATTCCTACTGGTGTCAAATATGTACATGCAGAAAAGGCCATGAGATGACATCATTCAAAGCTAACAGTTTTCCAGACTCAAATCCGGACTGACAGAGGCAGTTTAAATAGACTTATGTGGCTATGCCTAATCTGTACCCTGGAAACTCTATTTTATATGTCCAAAAGTATCTAGACAGCCCTTCTAAAGCATGAATTCAGCGACTGCAAGGTGAATCCACTGCTGACACCGATGTTCAATGGCACAGACAGCTTGTATGATCTCCATAAGCACTGACCAATAAAATGGAAGCTCTGGAGCAGCTGCACATGATTCTAAGGTCACTATGCCCAATGCTATGCATCAGCTAGAGGGGTATAAAGACTGCCCAGCACAGGGCTATAGAGCAGTGGAGCTGTTCTCTGGAGTGATGGAGCTCCATCCAATACCTTTGGGATGAGTTGGAGATCCAGAACTGACCATCCAACATCAGTACCTGACCTCACTAAAGCTCAATCAAATCCTCACAGCAATGTTCCAACATCTAGTGTAAAGCCTTCCCAGAAGAGTAGAGGCTGTTACTGCAGCAAAGTAGGAACAAAGACCCTGTTAACAGCCTTGATTTCAGAAGAAACGCTAGATAAGCAGGTGTCTACAAACTTTTGGACATATTACATGTTTATATAAAACCATAGTGTTTATAAAATCACACACAACACTGAAAAAACAGTACTTAATTGAATTTACTTCATAAAAATCTGTACACAATTTCTACTCCAATAAAATGTATTACGTTTAGCACAATTTTGTGTTTTAGTTTACTTAGTTTTGGCAGAACTTGTGTTGATGTTTTAATCATGTACACATTTGAATTCAAGCACTTTTTTCAGTTTGTTTATCAGCACCTTGTATTCCAGTCCAGTATTTCAGAAAACGCTGCAGCACAGACTGCAATCACAAACACTACAGCTGCATCTGTGGACAAATGAAACCACCCGACTCAACTATACTTCACCTCCAACTAAAACTCGACCTGCAGACTCACATCAGCCTGTCCTTCTACTGCTCTACCCAACAAATACAGACCTTTACTTTACTTTAGAGTACTGATCCCACACAGCTTACATCTGCATATTATCCAGTCTGATATTGCTATGGAAGCTCTATGTATGACTTGCATATGTTTTTGCTTGTTATAGTTACTGCTGATCCTACAGGGGGGATCTGTGATTGTGCTCCCTAACTATGTGTTGACTGGGAGCAGCACAGCGTCGCCAGCAGGGCAGCACCACCTGGGGCAAGTGGGGGGGGGGTTTAGTGCCCTGCCCAACCAAAAATACCCAGTCAGTCCTGGGATTTGATCCTACATCTTCCAGTTGCTGTCTCACCTCTCCTACCGCAAGGATCCCAGCTTGTTTGTTTGTTGGATCTGTAAACATGTCAAAGCTATAAAACTAGTAGTTTTTCATTTAAAGGTTGATTCCTTAAACCTTTATGTGACCTTAGCTCCTCACTCTCCTCTCATAACGACATAAATACTAGTTGCATAGTAGTTACTGAAGAATTTATAGTAGTTACTGAATAATAATCCATAAGGTTAATAACTGAATAACAATAATCAGCAATAACAATGTGACTAACAATGATCTACATGTTAAGGGGTTAAATAAAGACATAAAAGAAAAAAAAATCTGGGCTAATTATGTTGATAAGAGACACATAAAACAAGCCTCTGTGCTGTAATTGCAGTTTTTGTTCGTATTAAATCATAATCGTACTTTATCTCGATACCCTGATTCTCTGAGAAAACTCCTTTTTGAAAATTTCATTCATTTCTAAAGAATATAGATGAATAGAACTGCTAAAAGTTGCAATTCTGCAAGTGAGTCATAAATATTCGTGTTCTGTGCCATTTTTGCACTTGCTGGCAAGTCCTGGCTTAAAACATCTGTCTGGGGATTGTTTAACTAACAGCTAGGTAACTAGCTAACCAGCACTGATCCCTCCCTCCATAGACACCTAGATCTCTTTTGGGTACAAATCCATACCTTAAAATACTAAAATACTCTAAAAACCAATAGGCTACCACATTTTGGAGCTACAACTTGAGTGCAATCAATTTCATAGAGAAAAGAAACTTTCCTGGTGGAACTTCTCCCAATAAGTTAGTGAAATTTTGAGAAAATGTTCAGAATAGTGTTAATCAAGCTGTGTCTACTGCACACTATATGAAAATTTACTTAGAGTCCGTTTGTGTAGTACGTGGAGTGTCCACTGTCTCCTCTTCATCTTCATCACTGAGAAAGAAGAGAGGAAACATCCCCAGAAGGCAACCGATGGTGACGCCGATGGCCTTTCCCTGCAGCACCAGAGCACAGCTAGAGTTACAAGCTTTCTCGTTATGGCCTTTAAACAGCCAACCTAATCCCACGGAAGATTTAAAGGAATACTTTGCCCAAAATAATCCCAATTTACACAATTTTCAATCAACCAAAGCCTGTTTGGTGTCTGAACAAGTAATAGGAGCTTATACACCATCAATTAGCATTGAACAAATCATCACACACTTACCTCAAACCGTACTGAGTAGTTGAGTAGCCTTAAAAAAGACTTGCTTATGAAGTGACCACATCTGTACCTTAACTATACAAAAGGACAAATGTATAGGCAAAATTCCAGTGAGGTAGAGAGCTAGACCTTCAGTCTGGGCCATAAATGTCATAACGTGGCCAAAAACAAGACCCAAAAGATAATTCTGCTAATTCTGGTAGCATCCTATGGGATTCCTAGTGTTATGTTGGCACTAAGCTAACAGTGGTAAACAGTGGTAACATCTTTTGGCTGTTTTGGATTGAACAGGCATTCAGAGCTTGTAAAAAACATTGCAAGTTTTATTTGAAGCTTGTTACATAGAACATTGAACATACATTTTACCTTGTATCAGTTTTACAGTGGCTCAGTAAAGAGCTCTGGCATAGAGCTGCCACCACTGTTTTACATTTCTGACAGCTGACTGAAACCTGGTCAGACTACCACTTGTATTCATGGTCAGTGACGTATCTAGAACTTCCAGAAGGCCTAGAAGGACATTTTTACCTCACAGAATTGGCCGATTCCACTGTGAGTTTCTAATTATCCTGGTAGTTAATCTATCGTATTAGTCATTGCTTTAGTCATTAAGGGACCGTCTGAACAGTGCAAATCATATTTCTCATGTCTTTAGCCAAAATAAGGCAAAATCACATTGAAACACTTGTATTAAAGAGAGTGACTTCCTTTAACTGGGAAGTTCAGTAGGCTTAAGTGAAGCCACTCTCTTTACTACAAGTTATTTAATGTGATCTTGGCCTTCTTTTATCCAAATGGTAACCACATGGTAAATGAACCTTATAAAGATGTCTGCATTATATAGTTTGTAGATGGTCCCTTAATGACTAATGGTGATCTGCATTTCTGAACCATGTTCAGCGAAATTTAAAGAAAGAAATATTGTAGTTTGTTTCTTCTTAGGAATGAGAAAATGTATGTATTTCTGTAAATTTATTTCATGAGAAATTGAGAAGAGAAAGTCAAATATTTAACAGAATGTCCAAAGCAAAACCAATCATACTGCGCTGTGATGAACAGAGCCATGAAAATGACGCAAGTTCTGCTGAGGTTCAGCTCAGCTTTTTCAATACTTCAGTAACGTTACCTGCCAGATTAACCTGAAAGTCATCTTCTTTTTAGTCTGCAAAGCATTTCACTGCCTATTCTATTCATTTCTGGCCAATTCTAGCTTTCTTAGTTGATCTGCCATCACAGCAGAAGCATACTTTGGTCGTTACTTCGGTCTTTACTTAGTAACTGGTACTGGAATAATACAGTTATTGTGGAAAAACACTGCTGTAGTACAAATAACACAGGTACAACACTTCTCAACCACTCAGACTGTGCCGTCAGAACAAGTGTAAAGTGTCAGAAACCACATATGCAAGTCTGTTTGAAATCACTGAACAACCCAACATGGTTCGCAGCTTCAAACTAAAAAAGCAAACTTCACACACCAAACAGGTCTCGGCTAATCGAATAAATTAGATATCAGGTGGAAAATAAAAAAAAAATGGTTTAAGAAACTTCAACAGCAACTTCTTTCACTTACTATCTTTCTCTCTCGCTCTTTCACACACACACACACACACACACACACACACACACACACACACACACACACACACACACACAGAGTCAGACACACTCATGCGCACACTAACACACCCCTTACCATGTGTGAGCTGAGTCTGGTCTGCCACATGTCGGCCTGTTTGGGCGTAAGATCAGGAATCTGCATCCCGAGCCTGGCAGCAAGAGCTTCCACATAACCTGCTAGTCTACACACACACACACACACACACACACAGGCATAGACACAATGATTACACATGGCACACTGATATTTTTCACTCACCCATGAGTGCACAGACACACATACATTAGAAACTGATTCGAAAAATCAATGGTTTGCAGATAAAAGTATAAGATGGTACTCTATACTTAAAGAACGTCTTATAGACCTGACATGAGTTAGAAATAAAGGTTCTGTGCAGGTACGTTTTTTGTTCATCAAGGTACAAACAATGTAAATGTACCTCAAAGGTACAACAGTGGTTTTAAGGTCTAATTGTGAACCTTAATTAAGTTTTTCCAAATGAAAAGTACAAATACTGAAATACTGACAAGTGAACTTTTGAATAGTAGAATCCATTGATCTGGTTAGTTGAGGCGCATGCAAGCCCACTTACCCAAGTCCAGCCAGGTCAGACACCAGGTTCCCCAAAGCAGCCGCTGCAACCACACAACAATGTTAGTGACTCACACACATGAGCAATGCAGACAGTCAGAAACTCTGTCTAGAACAGGGGTCAGCAACGTGCGGCTCTTTTACTGCCCTGTTGTGGCTCCACAGCAGAATTAGATTTGTAGGTAAAAATAAAATAAAGCTCTGCTGATCGTTCAACACAGTTTAAACAGTAAATGGTCTTAAATGCTTCAGTTAATGTAGAACTGCTTATTCACCCTTTAACCCTGAAGGTTGGCACACACACCGCACCATAGCAACACAGACAACAGCCTCGCATAGCTAGTAGCTAACAACAAGACAAAGAGAAAGATTTAAGACGAACATCGATAATTTGGAGATGGACTTATTTGCATTTATAATCACTCCAGTTGGTTTCCTGATACGTTTAATCTGCAACGAGAAACTGTCAAACACTAAAAAGTGCTGAAGCTGAGGTCAGTTTTTCATTCGCCAGCTTCTTATTCAAACTCTGCCATTCCACCTTAAACAACGCAGCAGTTACATTCTCAGGCACCATTTAAGGTGGAACGTGAAAATTCGAACAAGAAGCTGACGAATGAGAAGCGACTTCAGCCTCGTAAAAATTACTTTTTCCACTTTTGAGGGAAAGGTTTCCTGCCAGAGATGCAAGAAAAGCGGCTACACCTAAAGTAAGTCTGTGTTTTCGTTTATATTTTTTAACCTACACCAGGATATCAGCACATACTGAGACTTATTTACAGCCAAGATGGTAAAACGTTATTTAAATAAATGGACATACAATGTTGTGGCTAAAGGCGGATTGATTTTTGCTGAAAGGACAAAATGGTTCTTCTTAACATTTGAGTTGCCGACCCCTGGACTAGAAGAAGAGCAGGTACGGAGCATATCTAGCTCTGCAGAATACAGTCAACTACACTACAGCATAAACACTACAGTGCACTAATCTATCCCAGCATGAGGGCGGAGACTCCAAAAAGAAACTGAGCTTCAAGCACGTTTGGAATGAATTACTCTGTAACTTGTATAACATTGTAGGACTGTTACAATTAATAGATTAACAAAAACTTCACCTTTTTCTGTGACTCGACAGTGATTTGTTGGCAATTTGCAAATTTTTCATTCCCTTTACTGTAAGAAACAGTGAACAGTGACAGCCCTAAGACCTTGAATGCACCACAGCTGTGGTCCTTGTAATTTACATAGTTGTTTACTTGACGAATTAGAACCATGTTATGAGACCAGAATAAACACATATAGCCAGGCTGTCACTGCGAATCACACTCAGCTACGCACTTTCTGATTGGAGCGTCTCCTAAGCCTACTGTACCTTCTGATACTAGCCAACCTATGACTGTGCACAGTTTATCCACCAGGTGTCCTAATTCCAAAACACTTGAACATAACTGTTATTAGATATCCCATAGATATAACACTGCTGGGAAGACATGATGAAACACGCTAAGAGTAGTTTCATTTTGGAAATCAAAGCCTTTAAGTTACACAAACTGTGCCAAACTGTTGTGCCATATAATTCCAAGGTACCTCCCTGACACAGCGCCACTCCCTAATGTGAGTAAGCACTGCTGTGTTGAAGCACCATCACTCGCTGAACATATCAGCCCAGCTTTGGATATAAAGATAAACTCTAGTTAAGGTCCCTTGAAGGCTTTTTACAGGCCTATGATATTCATCCTTTCCCTGTAGATACTGAAACACCACCTGAATGGAAGTAGACTACTTTGCATTTTATCGAAGAGACCCAAAATCAGTTGGGACAGTATGCGAAATGCCAATAAACACAGAAAGCAGTGATTTATTAATCTACTTTGTCCTGTATTAGAACAGAACAAAGACAGGATATACAATATATTATCTTATCAGCATTTTTTTGTGGTAAATATATGTTCATTCTGAAACTGATGCCTGTAACACATTCCAAAAAAGCTGGGACAGGGGCAATTTAAGACTAGGAACACTGTGAAATGTTCAGAAAACATTTTTAACAGGCGATGCTGTTATGCTTGGGATAAAAAGAGTATCCAGAATAGGCCTAGACCTCTATAAACAAGGATGGGTCGAGGCCCACCACGTTTAGTCTGGACTCTGGGCTCTACTAGCAGACCTGGATATAAGAAACTTACTTGGTTTACATTCTTAAACTAATGAGAGAAGCATTCTGGGCCTAAAACATTCAGAGATCTAGACTAGTAGCAGCACTTTACAAGAATGGATGAGCTTCTCTAGGTCTTGTTGTGACACCAAACCTTCTGGCTATATTTGTAAGATGGCAGGAGGCTGTTTAAGTGATGGCTTTGATATGGCTAGTGATCCAAGTCTATTAGAACATGGTCTTTGGATTTTACAGCCCAGGGAATCGATGTGCTAGCTAATACTAAGTCTCTTCTCTTCGAAGAACTATATAACAGAAGAATGGCAAAAAAAATCTTCTGTTACATAAGCATGAATAAAACAGGATGAATTGGTGTCTTCAGTCCCCAAGCCATTATTACGTGTTATAAAAGGTATGTGTTGCAGGGATCAAATTTATAATGTGCTACTGAGAACGTTGTGTTTTTGTTCTGTTTTCAATGAAATAGTTTACTTATCACTGTTTTCTGTTTTTATTATCATTTCACATGCTGTCCTAACTTTTTTGGAACTGGGTTTGTACACACAGACTTTAATTTTGAAAAAAAGCTCTCAGTAAAATGACATAGCAGTCCATGTTAAGGTAACCCTTTACTGAAGGGCACTAATAAGGCACCAACATAAGCCTTTTTTAATGCCATCTGCCCTAAACCTACATAAACATTTATAAAGGCGCATTACAACAAGCATCAGTTGTTGTAAAGACTTTTTTCCCCCAACTCTGAGGCCATTTCAATTCTGAAAGTGTTATGAGAACTAATTCTTGCTGGAATGAGCCTTTGTAAATGCTTATATCATCACTGTCAGAACACAAACTCACATCTCCATGAAAATAACTTTACAGAAGGAAAAGCATTCTGTGTAATGTAAGTTCAAGATATTTTTGTAAATTTGGACTATTTCTACTGGTCAGATCATCATGAAATGTTTACACAATGTAAAGCCCAGCTGATATTTTTAAATTACCTTTTAAGAAGAAGAAGAAGGGAAAAAAAAAGACACAAAAATGGAAAGGTTCAATAATGGCTTATGCAGGTGTGATGTGGCCTATTATGAATGCCAGTCTTTGTTAAAGAGTTACCCATATTCATGTAAAATGTCAATATTTCATACATTTTGAGTGAATCATTTATGAATAAGTTAAGAAGTGTTTATGTAAGATGTTATGAACCTCACATGCAAACTTCTGCATTACCTGCCATGGTTGATATTCCGAATGTCACTCCAATGGACAGCTCAATCTGCGTTCCCTGTGAATGAACACAAACGGGAACCGTTAGTACCAAAGAGCTCCACACGCATCTTTCTAAGCACGGATCCATAATGAGGAGTGTAACTATGAGTTACATTAAAGAAGCTGATCCCACAACTTTTACTTCATATGCTCTGTATGGGCCTAAAGACACATCTGATTATATTCAGGAAGTATTTTATAAAGCAGAATTTCTCAGTTAGCGAGATAACTTAAGCTCAAAGTCAAGCGCTGTTCAACAGAAGGAGAGTTAAGGAACACTTACTGGGCAATCTTAAATGAAGCTGTTTTTACTCTAGCAATGAAAATGGTGTGTTTAGAAGAGGAATTAATACAGCAGACCAGTATTCTGCTCAAATGATATTCAATACTAGTACTTTGCAGAAGTCAGAGATGACCACTCCAGTCAAAATGGTCATTAAGTACATTTCAGGAGATATTTCTGGAAAGATTGGATACAAGACAATCCACTTGTAGGGGATTATTAGGGTGAGGGAAAATCAAAATAAAGCTGAAGTTCAAAAAATGATTAAAATCTACAGACAAAATGGGGCTCCTAACAACCACCTGGAAGACCTGGTAGACACCAACACTGTCCCCATCAGATAAAGAGCACTTAAAGCTTTCATCTTTGAGAGAGAGGAGAAAATCAAGCTGCTTCAGATCTGAAAATATCCACAGGTGTTTCTGTCCATCCTTTGGAGGTGTGAAAAACGTCCATAAATATTCCAGTGGTTTTCTTTGAGGAACTAAAATAAAGTCTCCTGAAAGGAATGGAAGCTGTTATAAAGGTGGTGAACATACTAAATACTAAAAATATATTTAGCTGATGAGGCTTCAGAGTAATTGTTTGTTAATTGTTTCCTGCTTTTTCCTGATGTTAAAAAAGAGTAAGTTGTACTTAACGGTTGTTTTGACTGGAAAGCGAATAAATGAATGGTAGTCTCAGAGTTTTGTACAGTACTGTGACTTTATATATGCAATTATGTTTTGCAATTGTGATATAACCTCCAATATACTGGGAAGACATTAGCGAACCCTCAAAATGACATGATAAAAGACGAGTTTGCTTCATTTTTGTGACCAAAACTTTTTACATTTGTTGCATCATATTCACATGATTCATCCAAACACCCAAAGAACATCTGTGATTGGTCAGGATGTCAAAGCACACAATAAAACGATTACAGATTGTTAGACTCTGATGTGCATGTTGTACTCTGCTATATCAGTATTTTAAAGACTGTCAATTAAGGAACAGCATATCGTTGAGTTTCCACCTGAGAAATCTTGCTTTATGAACGACTCACAGATGTAAAGCAACTTTCGCTGAACCACTGGAGAGGTTCATACCACTTACTGCAGCGATCATGATGGCGTTGTCCAGAAACCCAAAGCCAACGAAGGGGATGGCGTTGTGAAGGAGCACTGAAATGAGAGCAGCCAAGAGAACAGCAGGTCAGATCACACAGCACAGCTTATTTTATTATAATAAAACCCTTTCACAGAAAACCCACTGGGAAATAAATCAACACACCTGCCAACCAAGAAATACAAAAATATAAACAAACAGTGGAGAAAATCTCTCCAAAAATACACAGGTTAGCTGAAAGAGCAGTAATTACTTTTCCATGCTGCTAATCCTTTGTGATTCATTCGTGACTCATTCATTCTGCATATGACGCATTCCACTGAGAAAAGAAGCTGGAGGTTGTTCCCCCTTAAAACCTATTAAAACACAGACAGCCTGTTCTGCTGTTAGCATCACCATCTATCAGTGGCTGTTTCAGTGGTGCTTTGCCAAATTTGCAGATTGAGAGGGCAACATTTATGTAAGCAGGTCTAAAGTTCAGTGTTGGTCAGTATTTTTGAAAAGAAAAGAAAAAGAAAAGAAAAACTTTGCTGTCCAAAGAAAAACAGGAGAAGGCAAAAACATTTCCTCAAAACTAAAGAAAGTAAAAAGATTTTATGTTTTTCTCAAATTATGTTAAAAAAATAAAACCCAAAAAAATTGGAGAAACTGAACTGAACTGGACTAAACTGAATACAATATTTGATGTTTTACCTTACAAAGTTTTTTTTTATAAATATATGCTCATTCCAAATTTGATGCTTACAACACTTTCCAAAAAAGTTGGGAGAGGATCATGTTTACCCCTGTGTTACAGCACCTTTCCTTTTAACAACACCTATGATCATTTGGGGACTGAAAACACCAACTGATCTAGTTAGGAAAGTCGATTTGTTGCTATTTTTCAGTTAAACAAGTCTTCAGCTGTGCAGTACAGGCCTGCATTATTCTGTTTCATACATATTTTCAACTGGTGACAGTTCTGGACTGCAGGCAGGCCAATCTAGCAACCAACCTCTGTGATTACGCAGCCATGCTGCTGTAACGTGCAGAATGTGGCTTGGTGTTGCGATGTTGAAATAAGATGATAAGTTGATATCAGCATATGTGTCTCTGAAAAAGGCAGAATATGTTGATCAAAATGTGTTTAGTGTTCAAGTGACCCACTAATACCCTCCCGTACCATGACAGACCCTGGTTTATGAATTTTACGCTGGCAACAATCTGGAATGGCCCTTTTCTTTTTCGTTTTTGGCCTGGAGAACACGACGTCTGTTATTTCCGTAAACAATGTGAAAGGTGGACTTGTCAGACCACAGTACATGCTTCCAATGAGCATCAGTTTATTTCAGATAAACTCGAGCCCAGAGAAGTCGGCAGTGTTTCCAGATGCTGTTGACATGTAGCTTCCACTGTGCATAGTACAGTCTTAACTTGCATTTGTGAATGCAGCGATACAGACATATTTGATATTTTATGTTTTATTTTTTGCAATATGTTAAATTCAGCAAATAAATAGAAATTTAGGCATAAAAAATACCTTATGTAAGTTTGTTCCCTGTAGTGGATGAGTTTAGGTTCATTAAAAAAAAACAACAACAAATGTGTCATTTAACCATGGGCTGCATATGACTAAATATAATTTAAAATATATATTTTATATATATATATATATATATATATATATATATATATATATATATATATATATATATATATATATTTAAAATATATACCATTGAAAAAAGCTGGATTTGAGTGAAAAGGCTACAGTTGTAGATTACCATCTAGTAACATACAGCATGTGAGCAGCTGTGCTTCAGCCTGGAACTACTGTAGATGGTTTCGAGTATTACAAAAAATTTTATAGTAATTTATCACATTAACGTGTTATTAAGGCATTAACTATGACGGTCCTGCTGTATTTGTATATTTTGGAGAATAACACAAACCCTAGTCACCTTCAATCATCTTTTTTGTAATAGCTGCAACTTTTTGAGCATTTACTGTTTGGTTAAGATCTTCATGGAATAGTGACATTTTACTTTCACCTTCTTTTCATCTTTCTTATATATTTTAAGACAATTGTAGGTAAAAAACAGGTGATGAGAGAGAAATCATCACATCTCACCGTATCTCAGCTGGCTGGCGTTCGGCGGCAATGCCTCCAGTTTCTCTGGCGGAAAAAAAAACAAGATAAAAAGTGTTTCAACTATATCCTGGTTTTCTAGTAATAGACATCACATGCATACAGAACTTCATAGTCAGAATGTGATCTCTGAAAGTCTTTCACATCTAATGTAATACAATAAACAGGAGAGCTGGCCTCAGATCAACACTCTTAACTTCAAGACATTTGACCCCCCCTGTTTACAATAGAGACAAAGCAAAGTTTCCTCTTGAAGCTCAGCCACACAGTGGACTGACATCCGGTAAAGACGACATAACTTTCCAGAAAGCTTTCCAAGAAAACTTACAGCACAATAGACATTACAGGTCTAGATAACATGCCTAATAGCCAGGATGATCTTAACATCGCAACTCTTGGGAAACTACATCCTGCTTCACATTTAAAGTTATACAACAGTTCGTTCAGCTGCAGTTTAATGTATGAAACAGCGTTGTGTGGTGTTGTATCTGCTAACAGAACATTTCTTCACCACAACTGCATCATTCCACTGGTTGCTAAGAAACAACTATGGTCACATGAAGGCTGTTAAACACTGAACATGATGCAAATAAACAACATGAAAATGGAAAATATTTAGTAAGACAGTTTTTTGGGATTTTGCAAGATTTCTGTGAATAAATGGGCAGTATTCCTGTTTTTAAAGACAAAATAACATCCAAAAAGACAAAGCAAGCTGTGAAACTGTGTAGACCACTCTTCACTTTGGAAAAACTCATTCAGGAGGGGAAACATTTTGAGCTCTTTCAATCATAGATGGTAACTTTCCGTAACTTAGTTTGAGCTACTTCTGGAGATGCAGCTTAACATGCAATGAAGCAGAGAACAAAATAATGAATTTGACGTCAGTCAAAAGTTTTAGTTGCTAGGATCCAGCTGATCAGGCTTCGTTGTTGTCGTGTGCCAATACCAACCATGGACACAGTTCTGTGAATGTTGTCTGTGAAAGTTTCCAAGAGGGCAAATAAAATAATGCTGCATTTTCACCATCCAAAAGATTGCAAACAGTGTGCAAGAAATCATCAATCACTGTTTTACATGAGTTTGAATTTACAGACATCTGAATCAATGATGCAGAGTGGAAAGGTATTTACTGTAAACTGCTGAAACTAGTTTTTGGAGAAAGAAACTTCTAGATTTGCTGAAGTGCTGTGTCTCTTCAAGCTCTGAAACTGCCTGCCACACTCGCAAACTTCTCAACCATTTCCTCTTTCAAAACTGAACTGTAAACCTCTCCTCTCCCAGTCCTATTCATCGACCTCTCATTATTGTAGTCCCACTTCTGCCCTGTTCATCTAATTTCTTTTGGTGTGTACTGTTCTTCTTTATTGTTTTCCCTCATGTCATCCTTTTTTGGTTAATAACCATGTTATTTATTTATTTATTTATTTATTTTGTGCATCATGGTCAGGTTTTGCTTGGTCTTCCATCCTTGTTTTTGTTAACCTTGTGCTATATTTGTGCCTCATTGTTGGCCTTGTTTTTGATGCTCTGTAAAGTGAGACTGAACTTTGAAAAGGATGAGGCCTAAAGTAAGTGCCCATATACATAGGCCAGTGTTTCCCAAACCACTCCTAAGGCCCCTCAAACAGTTCACATTTTTTCTCCATCTCTGTGTTGTGAATTAGGTTGGAGTAAAAATGTGGACCATCTGGGAGGCCCAGTGGTCCGGGTTGGGAAATGCTGGCCTAGGCTAAAGACATTAGAACTCAATTTGTCACGTACTCCACACATTTCATCTTAACACAGTAAATGTATGGTAAGTCAATTAAAGTATGGGCTTTTTTTCTGTACAAGATCATTTAAAAATAACAGCTAAAGATTCAGGTTTTATTCACTATGCAAGATTTTCAGTTGATTAAAAGTGTTTTTTGTTAGTATTTGGTGGAATTGCCTTTTAATCGCTTAACGTGAACCACTTGGGGTAGCCTTTCACAAGCTTTTTATAATACTATACTGGAATTTTGCCCACTCCTCCTGACAGAACTGGCAGGTTTGTGGGCCTCCTTGCTCAGACATCCTGTTTCAGTTCAGTCCACAAATTTTCTACGGGATTCAAGTCAAGACTTTGATGGTTACTCCAATTCTTTTACTTTGTCGTCTACAATTTTGGAGGAAGGCTTAGGATCACTATACGACTGGACCCAGCAGTGACCATGTTCTTTTTGGCTGACGTCCTGATGTGTTTCTAGATAATCCTTCTTCCTCATGATGCCATCTATTTTGTGAAGTGCACGAGTCCCTTTTCCACCATGGAATGACAAAAATTTCAGACCTGACTACAACAAAATAAACATATAATCCAATAACTTGCATCTTTGTTGACAAGCACAAAAGCTGGGTCAGGCCCACTTCAACTCTTAGCAGATGTGAGACCATGCGGATGCATTATTGGTAGGGGGGAAAAAAAGTGGTTAGGGAAGGGATTCCCTCGGTAAGGAATTCTAAAATAGGCCATTCCAAAGAATCTGTCCAATGACAATGGCACACTGTGCTTACCACCCACAGAGCGGGGGTGCAGTGGAAAGACTAAATCAGACGATCAAGCAAAAACTATCTAAAGTGATGGCTGAAATTGGACTATCATGGATCCAAGCAACGCTTCTTGTTGTGTTATACACCGATCAGGCATAACATTATGATCCTTGTTTCTACGCTCATTGTCCATTTTATCAGCTCCACTTACTATACAGGTGCACTTTGTAGTTCTACAGTTACAGACTGTAGTCCATCTGCTTCTCTGCATACTTTGTTAGCCCCCTTTTACCCTGTTCTTCAGTGGTCAGGACCCCCATGGATCCTCACAGAGCAGGTACTATTTGGGTGGCGGATCATTCTCAGCACTGCAGTAACACTGACGTGGTGGTGGTGTGTTAGTGTGTGTTGCGCTGGTCTGAGTGGATCAAACACAGCAGTGCTGCTGGAGTTTTTAAACACCTCAGTGTCACTGCTGGACTGAGAATAGTCCACCAACCAAAAATATCCAGCCAACAGCATCCTGTGGGCAGCGTCCTGTGACCACTGATGAAGGACTAGAGGATGACCAACACAAACTGTGCAGCAGCAGATGAGCTATCATCTCTGACTTTACATCTACAAGGTGGACTGATAAGGTAGGAGTGTCTAATAGAGTGGACAGTGAGTGGACACAGTGATTAAAAACTCCAGCAGCACTGCTGTGTCTGATCCACTCGTACCAGCACAACACACACTAACACACCACCACCACGTCAGTGTTACTGCAGTGCTGAGAATGATCCACCACCCAAATAGTACCTGCTCTGTGAGGGTCCATGGGGGTCCTGACCACTGAAGAACAAGGAAAAAGGAGGCTAACAAAGTATGCAGAGAAACAGATGGACTACAGTCTGTAACTGTAGAACTACAAAGTGCACCTATATAGTAAGTGGAGCTCATAAAATGGACAATGAGTGTAGAAACAAGGAGGTGCTCATAATGTTATGCCTGATCAGTGTATATACATGGATGAGTAGACAGAACTACAGCTGTGTGCAGACAAGACCTTATGAAACAAAATCTGAAGAAAGCTGAGGTGCAGCGTTATTATTCCCCTAATAGACAACTTACACCTGCACAGCTACAACAGACAATACTGAATTATCCTATATCTGCAGTATATTTCTTAGAACAAAGGAAGGGTAAGGACTTTTACTCAAGATAGTGAAACAACTTCTACCAAAACTGTCCACTATCCAAAAGTCAAAACTCCCTTGACCTTCACTGGGATAACTGAAGTAGAAACCGGTCGTGTGACTGCAGGGACAGTGGTATTTGTTTGTTCTCTTCATCTAGCTGGTTTCTGTATATGGTCCACACATAGAAAGATCACACAGGAAGCACATGATGCTTGCATATTGCAGTGACTCAGTGAGCTAAAGGAGGATGGGGTGAGAGAGAGACCCACTCGTAGAAAGCTGAGCTGAGAGATGCCAATTAAACCTTGCGGTCAGCCAAGATCAGTTCCACCAGTCTGCTTCAGGGCCACAGCGTTATTGTTATTTGGCCACAAAAACAGGAGTACAAACCTAAAAACACTTATTAGACCTTCCATGTGATCACCTAGTTAGTTAAATCAGTGCGTTTTTAATGATCCTCATGTTCATGTAAGGGATACTATCAGGAAAAAGAATAGCCAATTCATAACCATGATGCTGTGACCCTAATGACCGAATTCACAAAGGCAATGAGTCACTCTGATTGGTGGATCTGTCATTTGTCGCCTCAATACCACTCAAATTGTAGGAATGGTAATCATACAGCTGGCTATCAATCAGTTGGCTAAATTTAGCAGAGAAATTTGATGATGGCACTGTCTGCAGGATGAACCCAATGCCCTGCATAGAGAGACCATCTTCATACGCAAGTCAAACTGCTATTCTTCAATATGTCAACACAGAGATTAAAAAATATCATCCATCTAAAGGATTCAACCAAGTTTGCTTACGCTGTATTGATCAAAAATGACCAAAAATGTGTGTCAGTTTGTGTCCTGTGCTGTTGTCTCTTTACAGCAGACTAACTGCTTAAAGAATAGCCTGAATGAAACGTGTTACATTATAAAGGCCAAGTATTCTCTGCTTTGTAGTGACATTATTTTTCACACCATGGTTACTGAGTATATGAATTCACTTTCTTGTGCTGTACTCGACTGCTCACGACTGAAAAAAACACCTGCCAGAGCAAACCGGTCAACCCCACCTCCATGTAAGATCAGGGTCCAAACACTGAATAATGTCCCATATTGTTTCTTGCTAACTGTGCCCACGGTAAAACCAAGAAACCTGTTGATTCCAGTGATTGTTCTTATGAAGTCTCAGCCAATTTGACTGACCCACCTTTGCTGCCAGAGGGAATTGTTGTTGTGTGTAATTCTAAGGTTTACTGGCAGTCTCCAAAAAATATTTTGGTATATGTTACCTAGCTAAATTGGTCCTGTTCACTAGAAGCATGAAGTCATGCTCAAGCAA